TACAACCAGGCCTATAAGTTATTCACTGTACTGTCCGATTTGGACACGGGTCCTTTCGAACTTTGGAACAAATTTTACAATAAACCGCAAAAGTGATCGCGAAATGCTTGATATTTTTAATTCTACACTCTTTAATTATCTTAAATCAATTACTTTTCAAATTTTTAACATCTTTTAAGTAATGATTTACAAGGATTTTCTTTTTTAAAAAAATTGTCGCACGATGGCTGAAAATACATATTTGCCTCTATTTTATGAATGTTATGACAGAGAACTGTCAAACTGCTATCACATGTTCGGTGTCTTATAAGGACTTTACGTTATAAATAGTACGCAAATCTGCTTAACCGTATTCATTTAAATTAAAAAGGTATTTAGAACACGGTCCGATTTAGACCACTCTCCCCTACGATATAGTACATTATTCATACGAATTCATTTGATGTATCAATAATTCTTTGAAGAAATTGTCCAATGACTGATGTTTCACATTCTTTTGTTTTATTTTGATTCTTCAGAAGTCACTTCTCATCAAATGTGTGATTTTACTATATTAGCAGCAAAAGTTTACAACTTTTATAACTACTTAAATATTGAGAATAGTGATATTTTTTATTCACAATGATCTTCCGAACAATTTGTCAAAGTTTGTTACATTTGTTCTGTATAATCACTCTGTATAAACATTTTTTAATAAAATAATTTTCATGATTATATAATACACAGCCATTTTACATTCTTTGTAACATTTTAATACTACTGTATGTATAAGTTCATTTATTGACAAATAGGAATATATATTTATAATATATTTTTATTAAGTATAGAAAAAGTATCAATAAGAAGATGGCGAGGATTGTAAACCTCCAAATGAAATGAGCCATAATTCATTCAAAGGGGGAGGTTAAGTGTACTACTAACACTATAAAAAGGTTTGGGTGGAAGGGCTTTTGTTTCTGAAATTCTGAGAAAATTGCAGTTAGGTGTTCTGATCTGCTGTACGATTAGGTATTAGAACTGTGTGTCGGTAAGTAAGAAAGCGACGTAACAAAGCAAACTGAGGCATATGGTTATACTTTTTCTTGTGTGCCTTCCAACAAGCGACACAAATGACACGGTGTGACACAATGGATCATTATATTCTTGTTGTTTGCCAATGTTAAACAAAGATGACATGATCACTGTGTCAAACTGTGTCGCTTATTGGAAGGTACATCTTATCTTTCAATTGACGAGAGTTTCAATCCCCGCAATGTTAAGAAGATCCTAAAGCCATCTGTATTACCGATTAAATCGTAATTTTTGTATAACAAATACTTTTTTTCTCTTTCACAGATTCGAAAATTCGTTTCCAGGATTAAAGTATTCACACATTAATACGTGTTTGTGAGGTGGAATTTATGCCGAGAACGACAAAAAATTTCGAAATTGAAATCTTAAGAAAAATTTTTTATTGTTCTCGGCATAAACTCCACCTCACAAACACGTATTAATGTGTATACTTTAATCCTGGAAAAAGATTTTCGAGAGTGAGAGAGAGAGAATCTGTGAAAGAGAAAAAAAATATTTGTTATGCAAAAATTACGGTTTAGTCGGTAATACAGACGGCTTTAGGATCCCCTTAAGGGGATGTTGGAGCCGCCTGTATTACCGATAAAACTAGCGTTTTTGATGTTTTTGTTCCTATCGAATTTTTTTGTACTATTTTCACAGAATAAAAATTCCTTTTCCACGATTAAAATGTACATGCTAATATACTTGTCATATACATATACTGATGTATTTTGTGTTTAAAGCTGAAAAGAATAAAAATACAGATTTCTTTATCCATTTTACTTTCAGCGTTGGTCACCATACTTTGAGATAAAAATGGATAAAAAAATCGGTAATTTTTAATTTTTTTCCAGCTTTAAACACAAAATACACCAGTGACAAATATATTAGCTGTTAGCATGTACATTTTAATCGTAGAAAAGGAATTTTTATTCTGTGAAAACAGTACGAAGAAATTCGATAGGAACAAAAACGCTAGTTTTATCGGTAATACAGGCGGTTCCAGCATCTCCTTAAAGTTTTTTTTAAATAAAGTAAATATGGGGATGGGGAAGCCCGCCCCGATGAATTTTACCTTGACATATAGAGGGCTTAAAAAATAACGTGAAATAAAAATATTATTAAAATAAAATAAAGAATATTTTATTTTAACAATATTTTGTAAAAAGTTGGTGCTACAGAAAATTGTTAAAATAATCTAACTTTATTTCAGATGTACATGAGAATAGTATATTATTATTATTATAATTAATAGAATAGAAAATAGTTTTATTATTAATTAATTTAGAAAGTAGATTAGATCACAGCTAAAACCTGTGAAATGTTGAAATTGCAGTACATTAAACTAATTCATAATTCTTTTAGTTTCAGTTTAAAAGTACAATAAGAATATTTTAAATTTATTTTCTTGTTTCTTGGAATATTTCTTTGAAACGCATTCTAGAAAAAAAATGTTTTACTGGCCATTATTAATGAGGAAAAATGCGTGTTATTTTCTGCAAATTGTGAACTACGTACCATTTTTAGCACAAGACTTGTTAAGTAGTCAATGAAATGCTTTCTTCTCTGTTACGTCAAATCATTTAGTCTTCCATTCTCATTCAATATGTTCTTTTAATATTTTTATATATCATCGATATATTCACAGACTATGCTTTTCATACTATCCATTCATATTCTAGCAGAATCGCAGCCCACGCTGTTCTGAAACTTGTTCACCCACCTTCAATCTCCATTCGTGTTTGTTGCCATCAATGTGCCGTTTCATCGAACCGTATGTGCGCCTGCGCTTATCTAAAACGCACTTTCCAATAGTTGTATTTGGAACTGTCACTGTGATTTTCCTTTACAAGACTGTTCACGAGCGAGCTGTCCAATTTGATATATTATTGTGCTTTCTCAAATTTTTGTAGACTAAACTGATTTTTTAACAAGTGCTTTGAACGAAATTATTGTTGTATTAAAAAGTGATTAAACTTGTTAATGTGTGTATGTGTTTCTACTATACTGTGTGAATAATTTGTTTTATATGAGAATATTATTACTAAATTTCCTAATAAAACAAGTTTAAACAAGTGTGGTGTTTGTTCAGTCTTCTGTATAGTGACTTAAGTTTGTTAAGTTCAAATTAAGATTTAATTCACACACAATAATTTTAATAATATGAACAAGTCTAATTAAGTTAAACGAATCACTTCAATATGATAAAAAATATCTCGTACTACAGTGAATTTAATAAAACAAAATTTTTTGCGTGAAGTCAAAAAGACATACACTAGTTTGACTTATATAATCATTGATTCACAATTATCAGATATCGATAAGTGCAATTGTGGAGATATATGAAAGGAAATCAATGTAATGTCACTAAATTGATTCAATTCATGTGATAATTACGCGTTAGAATTTTGAAAAGCCATTTACATTCGCGCGAAACGATTTGAAATAAATTTCAGTATATTACAAATGGCGATCACTTCCATGACGAACTGTCTAGGGCCTCCCCCCTTGCCACCTGGAAAACGATTTCTGCAAAAGTCCTCGAAAAAGTTATCATCTACCTATAAGAGTTTTTGCGATCCCGCTGTAGAAATCTGGCTTCCTCATGGTATTCCAGAAAATTTAATGGCAAAAGTATATTTGCATGAAATAACCATGAGTAAGATTGGTATGAACCAAAACCTGTTTAGAAGTTGCTCCGAAGGCAATCTGCGCGCGCGTGAGACAACAGTGTTGCCAAGTACGTCCCTGAACAAATGCATCAAAGCCATTTATGGCAGTTGGAAAAACCTCTTGTATTGTAAGTGTACGGATATTTTATATTATATAAGACATAACCAAACCTTAAAAGATATTAAAGATATCAAGTTTTAGTTGTTTTTGGTTAATGTAAAGATATTCCGAGATTACAAATTATACATATTTCATATTATAGAGCTATTTAAGGGCAGAATCGAATGTGTATCGCTTATCTTGAGAAAACATCGAGAACATGGAAGCAAGTAGTCCAAAAGAATAAATTTAATGATATTACATTTATTGATAAAAAGTTATTAAGTAAGACATAAATAATTAAGCAACAAGGACTGTTAATACGTATAACTGAGACACTAATTTTAAATAACATGTTTAGCAAGTTATGCTTATACGTGTTTGAGTAATATAATCTTTGTTGCTTAATTCTCAGGGGATTTTGATGTCTTATTTAACAACTTTTTATTAATAAATGTGACAGCGTTATTGTTCTTGATTACGATTTCTTCTATATGCCTGGGGATCCTAAAGTAAAGTCCGAATTTCGACGAAATCGCTGTTTTATTGATAAAATGTGACACATTGACATATTTTTACATATTATTACATCAATATCTCACGCATATACATAAATTATCATAGAACAATAGTGTTTTAATTAGAGTTTAAGTCTAATTCTAAAAATTCCACGTTGTTTATAAATTACGTTGTAACTCCACAGTAATCAATATTCTATCGATTAATCAATCCGCATCTGGAATGGTAGTTATCATCTTCACTAGCTTTCTCAGCTTCAGCTTCGAATCCATGAGTCTTGTATCTAACCCTCTTCCTCGAACTAGACTCTGCTTTCTGATTCCGTTCCTGCAGCTATTCCCCTGGATAAAGGTATCAGATTTCTCCTCTGCAATACTGAAGAAAAGAGTTTCTCTTTCCATATTCCAATTTTGGTTCACCAGAACAGGCCTTCGGGCATCAGCATTGCGCCATGCTTTATTCGCCAATCTTGATATTCATCAATCTTAATATAAGACGCTTCTGGATACGACAGTCTCTTTTGCCATCAATCGTAAGATCTCCGCTGCCTTCTTATATGCTGGACATGATCTATCTAATGTACTATGATGAGCTCTATTGCACGCATCTTTCAGTTTCTCTGCAAGGAGGGTCCTTCACAATCTTATGGTTTCCGTTACAGTTAAGGCAGGTCTCCTCCTTGTCACACATTTTGCTGATATGGTCTAGGAGTCTACATTTAAAGTACCATCTAACATGAGGAATGAAAAACTGATAACTCGTAACACCGTTCTCCAAAACGATCTATTCAGGGATATCTTTTCCTTTGAATTTCAGACAAATAGATTGAGAATCCAGCTATTTACCAGTCCTTCGGTCCTTTTTTAATCTTAATGCCGAGGCAACTTTCCATTTGTTATCATATTATTAGCTTCCTCAATTATTTTTTTCATCTTAATATCTATCAGCACTCCTTGTATCACGTCTCTTCTGAACAGCATGTATTTCAGGATAAAGACCCTAAAACCTAGTTCCTTCAGGTATTTATTGGTTAGGGCGTTGTTGACTGCAGTATAAGTATCGAAATTAAATTTCCACGTGTTTCTAGAGTGATAATTATGACTTTGTACTTCAGAGCCGTTTTCCTCTCTAGGTTACTTAGCTTCCTAGAGACTTCTAGAATCGAGGAAGTCTTTCTTCCTTGCGACTATCTACTTTTTTAATCAGTAAAAAAACAGGCGGATGGCTGTACGTATCGTAAGTCTCCTCAGGCGATGGGTTGTTTATATTCGATTCGAAATCTGTGTGAGCTCTGATTCTCTTTATTATTCTTCGCCATTTTTTTCTCTGCGATAGGATGCAAACCTTCCTTTTCCGTTCCTTCCAGAGGCCTTAGTACTCTCTTTCTTTCCATGTTTACTGAATGTTCTTGCTCGATAACTCCGCCATCTTTGAATTAATGTCTAGTTCGATGAATTTCCGCTCGTGTCTTCGCGTGTTTTCTTGCATAATCGTTATCCAAGATTATTTCCATTATCTCCTCCCAAGAGATATTGTTTGAGATCTGCACTGACTCTGCATTTCCACCCGCGGATCCTTCATCCATCTTCTGCCCCGAAGGCGGGAAGATCCCGCCTCTTTCGGATTTTGTCGATTGGAAAAACTAATTCACTTTAAAGAAAAAGCAGAAACTATATCCCCTCAGCTGCCTTATGTCCGTCATGGTCTGTCACAAACAGACTAGGCATTTGCCGGGCGCTGATCACGAGTATATCGCACAACTGCCGCGCACTACACTAGGTACGATTTATGGTGGAAGTATAATAAGTGTGCTCTTATGCATTTTAAACATAAAAAGAGCGGTACCCAGAAGCTGCCATGTTGCCGCGGTTATTTAAAGTTATTTGAAGTTATTTGATTACGGCTTATGGGAGATCCTAAAATTGCCTGTTTTACTGACTCATTGTCAGTAGGCCTTACACATACACACATACATACGTACACATAAATTACGTGTCATTGACACATCACTATATCAATATTCCATCATGTATCAATATCGCACGTACAAATTTTCTAATTAACTAATCTTTAACACAAGGTCGGTAGAAAGTTGACGCTCTAGGCGAGTGAATAATATACGTCCCCTACCCAGAACACGCAAATATAAATTTTTAAATACTGTTGCGTCTTCGGAGCTCCGCTACTTCATTCTCTCCCGGTATGCTCTGCCTCATTATTAGAGAGAACACACACATACATAGAACTGTGTAGATATACAGACATTCTGTATATGTCTCAGGACAAAAAAATCAAATATATTATATACACCAATTATGCATATAAATGTAGAAAAACTGTGAAAAAATATGTAGTCTATGAAATACCATGCAGCAATGGGTTAAAATTTTCTTTCTGTTTCTTACAGTTGGCGGTATGAGTCGGCCATCCAAAGCCGTGACTCAAGCAAAGAAAGTAGCTCCACCAGCTGTACCAGATGTGTTTCGACATTCCGGTTCCTCTTTCGGCTCAGCTGGATATGCTAGCAGCGAGGATAATTGCTTCCTCTCTGGAAGCGGCCCCGGAGGTACGACAGACGATGGTTCCTACGTGGTGCCATCTGGAAAAAGTCCAGGACCTATTTTCACACATTCGGGCTTCACCTTTCCGCCGGTGATTGGCAAGTATGCCCACGCCGAAGATCAAGGTGCGAATTATATGTAAAGTTATATTATTAGACTAATTCTTCTCTAACGCGAAAAGTGTAAAATAGGGACGGACATGATCGAGTATTTGTTTTACAAATCGATCATAAATAGATGCGATTGTAAGTCTATGCTTTTCGACTATAATGCAATTAAGAGGTGCAGACAATCTTGTCCGTCATTTCTGTCGACCTCTTCTTCTTTTTCTTCTTCTTACTCTGGCCTGTGTTACACCTCTTTCATATGCTCTTGTGGTGCGCACGATGATTATTTAATTGCCACGAGCATATGTCAATCTCAATACTAAAAAATAACTAATTAATTGTTTGAATAATCGATTCTTAGATAGCTAAATTTATGATGGAAGGATAATATCCTTGGAAAGATAATATCCTTCCATCATGGTTAAATCGATCGAAAACAAATCTTATCAAGGTAAAAATTTGCTCGTATTACGCAAAGCAAACTATACAAAAAGTTCGGTCAGTGATCGAGCTCATATAAAGATATACGAGGGGTACTACTTATATTTTGAGCCTTGGCAACACTGAGTGTTGTCAGGTGCCATCTGACGTTTCCACTAGAAAGTTTGACATTTTTGACCATAACCTTCTTCAGAACGTTGTTATTTGAGCGCGATTTGTATTGTTTACAGTCACTTGAAAATTGTGTCTCAGCGAAAAAATGGAATTAACTCGTGAAAATTTTCGTACAATGATTTATTACGACTTTCGACGTGGATTATCAAGACAGGAGTGCATCGATCAACTTACTTCCACTTTTGGCGATAAAGCCCCATCCTTTGCCACTGTGAAACGCTGGTATAACGAATTTAATCGTGGTCGCCGTTCGCTCACCGACGAAAGTCGTGAAGGTCGTCCAAAATCAGTTGTTGTGTCAGAAAACATTGATGCTGTGCAAAAACTAATAATGCAAGATCGTCATGTGACATACTGTGAGATTGAGACAACCTTAGGCATTAGTTTCACCAGCATATATAAAATATTGCATGATCATTTAGCCGTGAAAAAGGTTTGTTTTCGTTGGATCCCACATAATCTGACAAAATCTCTAAAAGATGCTCGTGTCGATTGGTGCAAACAAGTGGTTCGAACGCATGCAAAAGTGTATAGATCATAAAGGAGAATATTTTGAAAAACAATAAAGTCATTTTCAATGACAAATTACTATTTTTTTATTATTAGGCTCAAAATATAAATAGTGCCCCTCGTAGAACAAATTTTTAAATCAATATTTATTAAGAATCTAAAGTACATTTTGTGACCATAGGTCCTTCTTCAGCATGTATTTAAAAAATATAAAATATAACTAAAGTCGTAAAGTTTATCTATCATAACATGATTATAAGTGTAAGTCAATGGTAATGAGAAGTCAAGATTTTTGAAAATTTTGTTCCATGATTCGCGCGCGCGAAGACAATGATATAAGTTATAAATAATTTTATATATAGATTCAGAATTGAATGTAAGTGTTAAGACCCTACTTCAAATATAAGAAAACCATTATTGTCTGTTTTTTCTCTATCAGTTGGTCGTCGAACATGTGTGTCAAGCCAAAGTTAAGTAATAATCCGGAGTCAGTAGTATAAAAGTTTTTTTTATATCGGTTATGTATTAAAATCGAGAGATTCAACACAGAACATCTTAACACAGTCAAGATTTACATGCAGAGATTTAAATGAAAAAATGATGTTTTTTAAACATTGATAAAGAGTATTTAGTTAGATTATTGATCGAATATACATATAAATAAAAAGTATTTAGTTACATTTTTGGTCGGATATATAGGAGATACATGTATAATAAAATATTTTCAAAAATTAAATTTTAAATATGTTTCCATCTTAAATGTGAAAACGACTTTCTCACAATCCGGCCAGATGGCCGGATTATAAAAAAGGAGCCGGATACCGGATAATTGCCGGATATCGTAGCATCTCTAGTCAGTTTCTGCTACTAATCTGCTGGTATACCGTGTCAATAAGCTCTGTTGACAGATCCATAGGCCAATGCGGCCACAGATGGTTGTGGTTTTGTAGTGGAAATCTGATAAAGTTTGTTATTAATTTGCCCGCAAATTGTTAGCATTTTGCTATCAGGGTTATTATTCGATTATACTTATCCCTGATGCAAAAGACATTACTTTCAAATATCAGTAAATATTTAGTATAACATCCTTTCTCCCCGATTTTTCTATAATTTTGTAAATTTATGTACTTTCATGCGTAGAATATATACTGAGAAGGAAACTCGTCGCTCAAGCTTGTCATTTTGTATTTTTAATTTCAAAGTTTTTTGATGTCGATAAGTTAGAAAATGATGAGTAAGTTAGAAAATAATTAAAGCAGGGAATATGTAGGTATACATTTTGAATCACAAACTATTTTCTGCTATAACTTAAATCATACAGGGTGTTCCGTAATGACGATACTTAACAACGCTTAATGGTAAATTCGTGAGACCATTTTAAGATAAAAATTCTAATATCAAAATGTTGAAACTATACTATTTTTTTAATTATGTATATTTAAAGTTAGCGAATCATATCGCTTAAAGTTTGCGCGTTCAAGTGCAACGTAAAATACTAAAGGCAACTTGTGCTAATTATAAAGGAAATTATTATTTGTCTTGTTAATATCTATCGATATATAGTAAAGATTACATATATAACAATATTTTTGTAAGAGATGCTTATTAGCATAAAAAAATTATTAAATTGTTTGTATAATTTAATAAGTAATATTATTGTTCTGAGTCTTTTTATGAATGCGTTTTAAGACTGAAAAAGGTTTCAGTGAGCGATATGGCGACCAAATATAAGATTTCTCTCTCATTTAATTAAATCTATTCTCATCGGTCTAAAAATTCATACTGTTTATAATACTAATTTCAAATTATTACAAATAGTATAATTATAAAATACGAATGTTTGATATTTCTTAGGTATTGATATGACCCAAAGTCCTGGTAGAGACAGTCCTGGTAGTTCCGGATCAGGTTCCGGTTCTAGACATTCCACGGCGTCATTGGATTCTTTCACTTAGGACTTAGAGGACCCGGTGCTCTTGCCTCGTCTCCTAGATGCTCTATTAGTTCACTCGGGAGTCATCCTGACCGACCGACAGATCTTGACGTCGTTCACGCTTGGTTAACTGAACTCCAATTCGAGGAATACTTTCCTTTGTTCGCTTCCGCAGGTTATGACCTTGCAACTATAACGCGTATGACACCGGAGGATCTCACGGCTATAGGTAGAGCATATATTGTAATAACCAATCTAATCTAAGTATTGAATGTTTATCTAGTTTATAAGTATTACTCATATAGATCAGTTACAACAGGCCTGTCCAAAACTCGGCTCGTGAGCCAAAACGCTTCCATATCTCTACCGTCTCGGTAGAGTAAAACAAAGCGTAAATAACAAAAGGATAGACGCCAGCTCTCTGCCTGATTCAGGTCTGTCTAAATGTCGTTAAAATATGCAACGCTGCAACATATTGCAACAATATTGCTGCAAACTTCTGTGCTGTATAGAAAAACATTCATATTTTCTATAATAAAAAACAAGGATGTCTGCAGAAGATCGGTATAGCATTACTATGGATGTTACCAAGTAAAAAAGTATTACTTCCACCATGGGATGTCACAGGCAGAGAATGATAGGTAAAATAAAAAACAGTTACTATGATTACAGATTGAGAGACGGGCTCTCGCGGTTTAACTTTACGGCGATTGGACAGACTTGAATTCTAGCGTCTATATATATTGTTATTTACGCTCTGTCTCGCTCTATCGAGATGTCGGAGAGGTAGCTGAAGGAAGCGTTTCGGTTCACGAGCCGAGTTTTAACAAGCCTGATTTAAACAAATATACACTTTTTTATACATTACATTATAGGTATCAAAAAACCTAATCATAGGAAACGACTAAAAGCGGAAATAGATAATTTAAATATAGGAGATGGTTTACCAGAACATGTGCCTGGATCGCTCGAAGAATGGCTCAGGCTTCTCAGACTTGAGGAATATCTTGGTGCTCTTCATCAACAGGGTATGCGATCCGTCGAAGACGTGACAACTCTCACTTGGGAGGATCTTGAAGATATTGGTATAGTACGGTTAGGACATCAGAAAAAATTATTGTTAGCAATTAAAAGAGTTAAAGATATTCGCGCTGGCAAGCGTATACAACCACTTGATCTTGCGCGCTTGCCGCCACATCCTGGGCATACGCAGGTAAATTATAAATTTTCTCTATTTTTTCTCATTAGTATCGAATTTAGTTGGAAAAAAAATCTCCTAATTATTTTGATCAATATATTAACAATGTCGTGCAATAATAAATTACTGTATAATTTATAACTTTTTAGGACGTTGTTATTCAACGAAGTGGACCTGATTTACCATCACCTGATGAAAATTGTTCTTCGCCTGTACTTAGATCTTTTCAAAGAGGTGGAAGCGATACTACTTCTGATGTTACTTGGAAAAGTATGTACGCCGCGTTTCCAACTGATTACAATACAGTTGGCCGTACTAGCTCCCGAGGAAAATCTTTGGAAAGTCTAGAGGATGCGCCTCTTGGCTATCCTCCATCACCAGCTCCAACGTCGCATCCACAATCCCTCGATTGGCGTCCACGCAGTTTTGAAGATGGTGATCTTACACCCACGAATGATGTTTCCGTTGTAGATGCTGGTGGCGGCACTCTTCCACGACCAAGACATTGTCTCGTTCGTCCACGACCTGTAGCCAAGGTATATTCGATTGTCTTGACTATATGGATATGCTTGAAAAAAGGTGAAAAACGAGAAAAATTTATGTGCTAATTTGATGGTTTTAATCCAAGCTACATTATACCAATAATGTATCTATGCGTGTATATACACATAAACTCTTTTATATATTACACTTTACTAACTCCCCACATTTCTTTACGTAAAAGTATCTGTGTGAATTAAGCAGGGAGCACAAATTCTTGCATAATGCATAACACGTAAGGCATAAGAAATTCAACCAGAACTCTTTATTTCATGAAAAGGAAGGAAACACACAAAAGATTTTAATCGGTACATTTTCTTATGCATTACGTGTTATGCGTTATGCAAGAGTCTGTGCTCCCCATCTTAAACGCGCAGAATAAGATCGTCACGTGATCGCACGTACAGAAAAGAGATGCCAATAGGTCAGGTGACCAGCCTCTCCATGATTAGTACCTTTCTGTGATTGTCAAGATGTACATCTCTCTGTTGATTGGATGCGTGAAGACAAAGGAAATCGCAGCATTAGAACTGTTGAAAACAACCATTCTTCGAATTGTTAAAAAACATTGCACATAAATGCATGGTGGATGCTGCGACTTCTTTCTATTGCACAAAGAAACGAGCGTGTAGTGTTGTAAGTTTTTAGACAAAATAACTCCAACCCAGAACAATTTTTGGATCGATTGTTATTGGAGACGAGGTCCTATGGTCCTGTACTATGATCCTTTTGTTTAAGAGGGAGTCAATGGCGAAAAAAATTATCATTAAAAAGAATGAATTGAAATGGATTCAGATTTCTAGAATACGCATTCGCGAATGTTAAAATGAATCCTTTTCAATCCTAATGCATTTTTATTCATTTATTAGGAATTACATGACACTTTTCTATGCTTTTCAATCCAAAAATAATATCACTTTTTCTGTGCCTCAAGAATATACTTCTCAATTCAAAATTTTGAATAAGAAAGGTAGTTGTCTTTAATTACAATACAATGAAAAAACATCGGATGGATATCAGTCTACTGTAATTATGCAGTGAAATGTCGAGTGGCTTCCCGCTCAGTGCGATTGGCTCGCGATCTGTAGATTCGGGTTCGATCCCACCTGCGCCCATACACGCGATTTTTCGCGTTTATGAGCCGAAAAATGATCATTCAAAAACTTCATCTGGTGATTAAGAGATCTTTGATCATCAGCGCCATTCGGATCCAGCGTTAAACTGTATGTCCCATATATCAGTACATATATGTATGGATCCCCCAGGTTGGGGGTTGGACATTAGACTAACAACCTAATTCCAGAAAATAATCCATTGTTACCCAAACCTCATGAGAGGTAGGCCTTGTCCCGTCGTGGGATGTTGCGCCATCGGATGGATGTAATTATGCAGTATAGGGGAGACCTCCCGGATCGCCTCGACATATGTTGTCAAGGCCATGACCCTGAGTGACTTTCAGAAGATTTTAGCCGTCGCTCGTTATTTATTAAAAAATTACTTACAAAAAAGTTTTAAAAAATAAAACGTTTTGTTTCTGCTACATACAATATTCAAAATCGTCCTATACCTTTCTCCCCTTTCGCCCAAGAGCGTACGACTTTTCACACGAAACAAGTACCCTCCCCCTCCCTCGCTTTGTGGGGTGGACCTTGCTTCGCGTGGAGTTACGCAAGGATGAATCTGGAATAGTTTGGGATAGTTCTTAATATTATATATAGCAAAAATAAGATGATATATTTTAAACTTTTTTGTTAATAACTTTTATTATTAACAAAAATAATAACGAGCGATGGCTAAAACTTATTAGAGGTCACTCAAAATGATGACCTTGATAACATATGTCAAGATCGTTGAATTTTGAAAAAGCTGACTTTATGTAAATGAGCCGTTTATTTTGAAAGTGACCTAAGTCCATTTATTTTTAAATTGAGATATTTAAGAGTTTGCGTTTCAATAAAATTAAAAATATACGTATAGGATACCAACATGTCACACTGCTTAAGTGTATCTAAGAGAGTTAAATTTACAATTCCTATTAAAATAATAGCAATTATTAAGTGAATAATATGTGTTTTCTTACTACAAATGGAGTTAAGCCACTTTCAAAATTAACAACTAGATTTGTTATAAAATTTGAAAGAGCCCAAGTCCATTCGACAATTTAAAATGCTTCAAATTGAAAAAACAATACTCAATTTATTTTATATTATTTCTTTACAACACTTCAAAAACACAATTTATGCAATTCAGGAAATCTTCTAACTATATAAATTACATAACAATTTACTGCTCATCTACATTTTGTGTATGCGGGAGGGATTTGAAGAAGTCATGGTGCTCCGGTAGTATATATCGTAGTAAGTCCATCATGTCCTTATTTCGCTGTTGAAATTTGTCTTATATTTTTATAAAGTGGTGTCAATACAATATTTTCGAATTTTCTTGGTCTACCCCGACGTGGTAATAAATCCAGGATTTTAAACTCTGCATTCTCATCCATTGATATCTTATAGAAAATTTTATATGGTTCATTTCTCAAAAAACGCATCCAGCATATTTTTAACCAATTTATTGTTTCTCCGTTAGAATTCTTTACCCTTTTAAAAACTGCGTCCTCCAAAAATCTTGTTGATATGAAATCCTCTTGTTTCATTTCATTTAGAATAAAGTTATTACCTTTCCGGCACTTTTTGATAACATTATAATAATCTTGGGGGACAAACAGTAAATTATTTTTCTTTAATGACATTTCTACGACGCCAAAATCTCTATCATTCGGTAAAAATGAATGTCCTAATACTAAAAATTTGTGGTCTATGATTTCCACATTATAATAGATTGGACTTAGGCCACTTTCAAAGTAATGTTTTTAATTATTGAAATAATTGCGAAAATTTATGTGTCAGAAATTATCGTATACTCTGAATATACTTAACCGCAAAATGTTGTTTATGACAGCTAACTTCAAGTTGTACACACTAGTACAGTCAACAACAAAAAATTGACAAATGGACTTAGGCCACTTTCAAAATAAACGGCTCAAATATGTACTTTAGTTTGAAATATTTTTAATTTTTCAATAAATGAATTAAACAATTAATCAGTAGGTAATGCATATTTTAAGAAAAATGATCACTAAACATGTCTGTGAATATACAATAACAATGTATAATTTATGATATTCTTGAAGATCTAGTCATATTTGTAGTCAATTTACAGTATAACTGGGTAAAGCAATTGTTTTAATGAAATCTTGCAATATGTTCGAAAAAGAATCGGCTAAAGTACAAAAAATACGACCAATTTACGACGCAGCTTGTTTTAGATATAGTTTTGATTTTGGTCGTGATATATGTATGTAATTTCAGGTCACTGCAACACCAGGTCAATATAAATCCTTACCGAGAGACTTGAATAACAAGTATCAATTAACATATGGACTCGAAAGTAGTCCACATCTTCCAAAACGGTGTCCTCCATCACCTCCAAGGCGACAAAACTCTCGAGATACAACTAGTTCTTCCGTAATCGCTGTTGGTGGCTCGGTGATCGGTGATGTCGTGATAGACTGCAGCGGGCCGGTGCCAACCGCTTCATGTGACGATCATCATATTCATCATCATCAACATTTGCTTCATCATCCATCGCCGCCACCACCGGCGCCTAAGCCGGTGCCTACGTCAGCATCTTCTACACCACCGCAATTAAATCGACCGTCTTCTTCCATGTCACGTTCATGGGGTAGCGTTAGCGTTAACATTAACGAAGAACACGAGTTAATTGCATCTCTCGCCCTGCAACATCGCAACGGATCAGATGCTAGTTTTAAAGTACGTTAATTTCAAAAGTTTCTACCATATCTATTTAATTTTTTGTGATTTTATATATATATATATATATACCCTAAAAAAATTTCCTAAATCTAAATATTTCTTTAAATAGTATTAAGTAAATATATCTTTACTGCAAATAAATATTTATTTATTGTAAGAAATTTAGAGGAAATAGGCACAACAGAAAAGCTATCAGCATCAGAGCCATCCCCGCTTTACATTGGTGAATGTCGAATCTCTTACGAGTACACGCGCCATCTATTGATAATTCTGCAAAACGCTCTCACTCTAAATCAAACTAAAATACTATCGACAATTTATTGAGTTTCTGTTATTTTTACGTTACATTTACGTTCATTTACTGCCAACAATGGTTTAGTCAACTTTGTAAATGCTACTATACCATTCCATCATTATCTAAATAATCAGTTCAGTATACTTTTCTGTAATTTAGTTTTCCATGTAGATATAGAATTATTAATATACGTAGTTCAAATCATCCTGGTTGAATGAATGTACAATATTAATATATTTAACTACAGTTCAGATCGGTCAATCTTTAACTTTAATTAAATTTTTGAGTACATTATGCTACGTCGAAATTATTCATATGACTTGATTGTTATTCTTTTTGAATTGATTCGAATTCATCTCAAATTGCGCAACCCTGAAACTTACAGTTAATTCTTTACACCTTGAGTTTTTTTATAATGTATTCAGGCTAAAAAATTGTAGAAAGGAACTACTTTGAGGAGACCAGATTTAAATTAAGTAAATATTCAAATTTTTATAGGCTTAGTTCAGTTCTTTTCGATTCATTCATGTATATATTAGTATATTTGTTTTACTTTTATATTTACAGTCAAGTTCCAGTACAGAATCAGATTCGTTGCCGTTTGCCAATGAGAATGCCGGTACGATAAAACAAAGGGCCAATCGAGCACAAGAATACATAGCGGGTCCTAACAGTAGTATAAGTGGTCATATAGTCAATCATCATTCCAATGGCGGAGAACCTGCGGATGTTTTGAACGACATTGGGAATATGCTTGCCAATCTTACAGATGAGCTCGATGCAATGCTCGAAGAAGAGAAACGCCAAGGCCTGAACTCATAATCGTCACTGCCTTCGTTTGCACTTTTCTATCTAACTAAAGTTGCCATAGAAATGCAGGCTTTGATACATGAAATAAATAAACTTGATTAGTGCAACGTGTACACAATTATAGATACAAATGAATACAATTCATGACAAAATAAACTGATAGAATCGTGTTGAGAATCGAATATTTCGAATTCTAAGATCCACAAAGACGGAAATATTTACCAATATAAATCTATGTCTTCGTTGCGACAAAAATAGAATCTTTTATTCCAAAAAGAAAATAAATTACGTCATTCGAAACCGTCGATGAAACTATTCTGTTTCGTATTGTACAGATTAATGAATATCCAAAATACATCTATTTTCGCGTGGTTTATGTTTTTGCTTCGATTTTTTTTCGATTATTGGGACAGAAATACTTTATACTTCAGTATAGAAACATCTTGAATGTGCCAGCAAATTTCCAAACGCAGCTGTGGTATTGCATCTAATACTGATATTGCACAATCTTTTTTACTTCTTTTTGAAGTAATTCTATAATCGTATTCCTTTTTATTAGCCTTTTTTTACAATGGACAATATTACAAATGAGTGATAATACAATACGTATTGCTCTATTCTATATAAATTAGAGCAATCCAAAGTATTCAAACAAATATGAGATACTGACGTAGCAAGGAGAGGGGGAAGGGAAAAAATTATTAACAAATATAAATATATTTGTATAATTATAATTTGTACTGCAGATCGTATTGCAAACAATTCGAAAAGAACACATGTGTTTTCTGTATAAAATCTTTTTATATCTGTAACAAATTTGTAATTAATCAAATCTAACTCCTTTTCTCTATAAAATTTGATTTTCGTTAATATACGTACATTTCAATTGATTTTTCCATTTCCGTCCTTCCTTAAATTGATAATACGATAGAAATCGAAAATTTTCTCATGGTTGACTTCGTATAAGAGCAAGAGGCAAGGAAAGATAGTTATGCGTTCCTCACCCAAATAAAGCAGCCCCAAATGTTAGAAATATATTCATAGAGAAATTGTTATAATGATAAAGAATTAACAGCTGCATCTTGATATGAATTTATAAGCTTTTGTATGGTTTTTTAGAAAGTCGCAGGATATAATTCGTTAACAAGAGTTCTATGAGAGATGTTATCAATCGTATACTTAGACTTTCAAGGTAATATGGTTTAGTACAGAAATATAAGTAGTGTATGCTAATTAACACTTTGTATTATTATCTGTACTAATTAATTTAGAAATATAACTTACTATTATTATATGACACCTAGATATGTGAAGCAGTGGAAAGTATTCATATGTATTAAATCAAAGTAGCTGTGGAGACACTTTTGAGATAAGGTACTCGAAATGATCTTCCGAAAATGTATGTTACTAGTATGTTCTGCGATCTGGATGTAATATTTTGCAAGAAATTTCTTTTACAATGTACTATTTATACGAGGGTTATCCAGAAAGTAAGTTCCGATGGCCTATTAAAAGAAAACAAGTATATACTTACAGAAAATTTTTTATTGCTTTTTAAAGTACACACCTTACTATTTTGTTATATAGTTGCCGTTGTTAACTTATTATAGCGGAGTATCAGGCATTGTATCCCTTCGTCATAGAAAGTTGCCGTCTATGAAATTTCTGGAAAATGCAGGGGAAAAGACTTAATAGTAAATCGTCTGTTCTCTTTAATTTTCTCTTTAATTACACGCATCAATTCGTCATTGATTACGTTTACACGGCACCTATCGGGTTTAATAACATCCGTGGTTATGAAACTGACCAATCACAGTCATTCCATTCTTCACAGGAATAACTATAATTGGCCAGTTTCATAATATCAATGTTATAATTTCAGCGTAAATCGAGCCATGTAAACATAGTCATTAATCAGAGACGATAGTTCGTTCCGTTCATCTGCACATTTTCGTGTCCGTCATCGAAAAGTCACCTATCTCTATACTATTGAATTATTCATTACATGTTTTCCATGTATTTCATAAATTTGACGATGAATACCTACCGCATTAATGTTTCTTACATTTAAGAAACCGATCACAGACCGCATTTCACAAGCAGCGGGTGTCACAATTTGTTTAAACATTATAAACGCACACTACAATGCGTATGCACTGAATCAATAATTAAAAATCGCGCCAATCACTCAATCCTTTGTTAAACTCGGCACGCATGCGCATCATCGCGACCACGCCACTGCGGTGGCAAAATTTAGAAATGGAATTTACTTTCTGTAAAGCTCTCGACACCATCGAGATACAATAGGCCTGTTCTTTTTGATTGAACTTTTGCACCAGTTCATCCTTCTTCCTCTTCTTCTCTCCTGGAGAGAAAAAGTTCAGTCAAAAAGAACAGGCTTTATGGTTGCATTCGAGGAGCGCGCTGTTAGCGCTATTTGTGTCATCTATCTATGTTTTACGTTTAATAAACAATGAAGATAGAATGATACAAGTAGCACTAATAGTATCTCCCCGAATGCATCCTATTAAAGATGGTCGGCTCTTATGGAAATTCGCGTAATTGTTAAAATTTGAGTGATTAAGAATAAGAAACTGATAATACGGTATTAATTTCAAGATTTATTAGTTTCGTAGACATGTATATATGTTTAAAACTTAATAATACTCGATTTTTTTACTTAAAACTGATTTTAATGTTATCATTCGAGTTTGATTATCAATAGAGATGATAAAGAAAAAATTATAATTTTTCGGCAATATATAAGATATTATAGCATAAAAAGTATGCGTACTTATTTATATAATAAAAAATCATGAATTTAATAATAAATTATCGAAATATTTATGTTAATAATCGTAAATTTTTGTTAATTGTCGGTAATGTCATCGTTCTTCAACTATCTCCGGGTCCCATTGATAGGCTACGTTTACACCGTACGTTTATTCCGCGGCCTATACACTAAATTCGACCTAATTTAGGTCACATTATTTAGGTCGCACGCTGTAAACACTACTATACCTGACCCGACCTGTTGTAGCTCAGGTCGATTCTCTCTCTCTCTCTCTCTCTCTCTCTCTCTCTATGACTACGTTTACACCGTGCGCTTAGTCCGCGACCTATACGATAGGTGTCTTTGTTTAATATACAGGATAAACAAGGATGTCTATTGTATAGGTCGCGGCCTAAATGCACGGTGTAAACGTAGCCAGTGTAAACGCGCAACTGACTGAACTGACCCGATTTAAAAGCTTCGTAGCCATTTGCTCGGTAGGACACTGCTGTTTTATTGAATAGTTAGGTTAAACCGGTTTGTTATTTACTTCTAGACTGTGAAAAGACTAATTGATTTGTGCAAAGAACATAAATATTAAAAAAAAAGATGGAAAAAAGTTCATGCAGCGATTCAAATTCATAAGTACCAATGCCTTTGCTAATCAAAATAATACAAATAATGGTAATTATTTAGAATACGAGCCTCATCTCCGATTTTGATGAAATTGGGCTCATTCGACGCGTTTTCACTTAAAATGAAAGAATCTGGTAAAAATGCGTCGGTCGGTCTCGCGAACCAAGATATTAAGCATTAAAGTTCGAGATTTTAGAGGTTAAGATAGCTGTCATCCCGACTCAATATAGCATATGTATACGTTCTGGCGAGTACAATGCTGTATATGGAAATAATCTGTACAAAATACGATAGATGGCTCTAATTCGGACCAGCGTGGACTAAATGTGACCTAACCAATTTTTAAGTCCCTTTCGGTGTAAACGGTTGGTGACTAGACCTATTTTGGGTCACGACATAGGTCAGGTCCTTTGACTATATACCTCTGGACTGCTAGTTATCCCCATTTTTCCTACCTTTTCCATAAGATAGAAAGAGAGGACCGTGTATCCAAGATCTCAGAGCCATCAGGTCCGGAAGTTGGCCAAATCAAGAACTAACTAGCTGCATTTTAAGTAAGAATCGGTACGAATAACTCCGAATAAAAAATTGAAATGATCCAGAAGTACTGCTAAATAAAAAAATGGTTCGTTCTTGTTTTGCTAAATTATGTAATAATACCAGATAAAAAGCTGTAGGAGTAATTAAATGTGATGCGGGAAAAATACAGATTTAAAATCAATTCGAAAAAGGTACCAAATTTAATAATAAAATAAAGTACATATTACAGTACAATAAAATATACATGAAAAGAAACACGGTAGGACAAATCTAAATAAAATATATCTGAAGAAAATAATATATATTGGCTGCCGTTAGCAGTCCAGAGGTATATAGTCAAAGGTCAGATCGCTATCAGTCGTACGGTGTAAACGTAACCTATAGTCTCGAAAATTTGCCCAATACCGATGATTTTTAATAGTTTTTCGTTGGTACTTGTGCTGAAACTGCTCCTTTTTCGATTAGAGAAAAAATGGCAGATCAATCAAAACACTTCACAATCAGGTTTCTAATTGTTTATTAAAAGATCTCTCTATACACTTTCAACACTACGATTTTATCGGCGTGTCACAAAAGTGGACGTAAATCATAGGCCGGTATTCGTAATCAGTTCTTATATTCAAGACCGTCTTAAGTGACAAAGATCGGATTTTTGTTCGGGCGGTCAACCTGTGCGGACGTATTCGCGCGTGCTTTCTCAAATCTTACAACGCGCGTTTTCCGAGTGTAGCTTGCGTTCCTTCAGTATTTCTTCTGCGGCTTTTTAGCCTCTTTTTTTCGTTCTGGGATACTTTTACTATTCTCTAATTCCTTTCTTCTGTCTGTTCTCATTTGAGTTGTGGTGGCATGCGGGAGGGACACTCCCCCGGGCCCCTTTGACCCGAATCCGGGTGGTAAAACAGACTGGTAAGAACTAACTATTGAAGATTCAGGTTGAAGATCGAAGATTGAAATTTGACCAATAAGGACAAAGAAATTTTAGCTCCTTTCCTTTCGATTGGTCAAATTTGAATTTTTCAATCTTCAATCTCAATCTTCAATGCGTAGTCTGATTCCGGCCTTAGAGCTGTTCGATTCTCAGGAAAGATCGATTTTTCGGATCGATTCAAAATCGAACTAATAGCATCGATACCTGCAAAGAATCGGATTAAAAAAATCGATTTTTAAAAAAAATCAATCCTTAAATTATTAAGTATTAAATTCTAAACCTAAAGGAAGGCAGTGAATTCCAAATTCAAAACCTATAGGAAAGTAGCGCGTTCAAAATTTTACACTCTCAGACCGATATTCATAGTCGATTCTTATTTCAAGATCGTCTTAAGTAATGTCTTAAGACGCTAGTGCGGCTCTCTGGCCGGTATTCATAGTCAGATCTTATATTCAAGATCGTCTTAAGTACAGTCTTAAGAAGTCACAAACCAATCAGAAGGTCATATTAGAAGACAATCTTGAAATAAGAATAGACTATGAATACCGCCCTCTGATTGATTCGTGACATCTTAAGACTGTACTTAAGACGGCTTGAATATAAGATCTGATTATGAATACCAGCCTCAGAAAGGCAACGTGCCCAAAATTTTGAACCCCCAGAAAGGCAACGCGCCCCAAATTTTAAACCTTCATATATGTTCGAAAATAGTCGTCCCACTAATTGTTTTTGCTTTCCGCTTCCGCTCTCGGTCTCCTCGCTAGATAACTCGGTCCTGAGTATGTACACCCACGGTAATTGATTCTGTCCCTCGGAAATTTTCGCAAAATGAGAAGTGACCACCTTTCTACATTAATGTTCACAATCCATGCACGATTAACGATACGACTAAACCTTACGTCCGCTTACAACGACATTTGACGTAAAGACGAAATAACCTGAATTTTCGGGAGTTTTAAATAATTAAATACAGCAGATGTGAACGAAAGACAGTGGCAAAAGGATTTGAAATGCCTTAATGTTAGCTTCCTGAAAGCTTGCTAAATAATATTTGCGCTTTCTCGCACTCCACGCCAAGATCCTTAAAATTCCCGAAAATTCAGGTTATTTCGTCTTTACGTCAAATGTCGTTGTAAGCGGACGTAAGGTTTAAGCCCATGGCACATACAAAAACTTAAGGCCGTAATACGTAAGCAGTAAAGAAATCGTTAGGGCCATGGCACACAAAAAAACTTAAGCAGTAAAATGTAAGCAGTAAGCTAATTGACCAATCACAGTAGAGTCCATAAGGCCATAACATAAGCAGTATGCTTCCTGAAAGCTTGCTAAATAATATTTGCGCTTTCTCGCACTCCACGCCAAGATCCTTTTGCCACTGTCTTTCGTTCACATCTGCTGTATTTATTTATTTAAAACTCCCGAAAATTCAGGTTATTTCGTCTTTACGTCAAATGTCGTTGTAAGCGGACGTAAGGTTTAGTCGTGTCGTTAATCGTGCATGGATTGTGAACATTAATGTAGAAAGGTGGTCACTTCTCATTTTGCGAAAATTTCCGAGGGACAGAATCAATTACCACAGTGGGTGTACACCGCCACTGAGCATCCTCTCCTGTCGTGCAAATGGATTGGTTGTACGCGCAGCGAAGATGCTCATCACT